GGAGGAGGAGGAGGAGGAGGAGGAGGAGGAGGAGGAGGAAAACTGTGGTGCACTTGACATTCTCCGAGCTTGGTGGCTTTCTTGCAGACGTTTCATTACCGAACTAGATAACAACATCAGGAGAACTGTTGACCCCACAGTTCAACCTGAGCTACAGATGTTCTCTTCTATCAGTAACTGTGAAGGCGGTAGAGATTATGAGTTTTAGTTCCCATTTGGCCACAGAAGCCTGAGAGCCAAGGGGGGGTCTAGTTGTGAAGGTGAAGGTCTGGAAGTAGGGAAGACCCAGTTACTAACTCCACCCAGCCATGGAATTCCCATAGGGCAATTCTCAGCCCATCCTAACTCGTTGGGTGATTGTGAGAATTTGAAGGTAGCATCAGAAAACCCCGGGGCAATTACAGAGCTGTAGAAATCACAGCTACATTAGCTACCTCGTCAGTTCATTAGCACTTGGTCTCCCACTACTGCTAGGAGGAGGGCGATTGAGAGAGGCGTTTCGTGAAAATTTCCCTTGTGGAGGACACTTGTCAGTTTGATGGCACTGATTACAACTAATCAGTGGGACTCTTGCGTCCAGAGGTTGTGGGTGCTCCATCACTGGAGATTTTGAAGAAGAAAATGCACATCCACTTGTCCAGGATGGTATACTATAGGGTTTCCTGCTTGAGTAGAAGGTTGGACTAGAAGACCTCCAAGGTCCCTTCTGCTCTGTGGGCCTGATGGTCTTAAGTCCTGGAGCTAATTTTCACACACATCACACCCACAGAGAAGGACACCCTGGCAGCTAAGCTCCTCTCCTACAACCGAGCCAACCGAGCCGTGGCCCTTCTGTGCAATCATCAGCGGGCGACTCCCAAGACCTACGAGAAGTCCATGAAGAACCTCCAGGCAAAGGTGAGAGAGCAAAGGGGGTGGGGAGGAGGAAGATACACACATGCATTTGGCTGGAGACTTCTAGGTGGTCAGATTGTGGCAGGTGTTAAGAAAGGAAAGATTCCTTCAGAGTCTTTTTGCTGCCTTATAATCGCTGGCAACCTGCGTTGTTGGTTTCATGGCCTTCTAGCAAAGAGTGCTGGAGCGGATCAAGTGTTGGACAGCAGGAATGAGGAGAAGACAAGAGCTAGGTGGCAGGCAGGAAGGGCCACATTGATTCCCTGCCTAGAATTTTCTTGAATCTGAAGGTTAGAAGGAGCCGTGGAGATCTTCTCATCCAACCTCCTGCCTGGGAAGGAATCTTCACCATCCTACACAAGTGGTCCTCCAGCTTTTGCTTGGAAAGAACAGATGGCCAAATTCTGGTCCCATTTGTGGTGATAAGTCAAGGCCTACTTGTATGAGGAATCTCGGAGTCCTAGTGTACAATTACTTAAATAGGAGTCAGCTGTGTGCTGCAGCTGCCAAAAAAGCCAACACAGTGCTGGGCTGCATTAACAGAGGGATAGAATCAAGATCACGTGAAGTATTAATACCACTTTACAATGCCTGGGTAAGGCCACACTTGGAATCCTGCATCCAGTTTTGGTCACCACGAAGTAAAAAAGATGTTGAGACTCTAGAAAGAGTACAGAGAAGAGCAACAAAGATGATCAGGGGACTGGAGGCTAAAACATATAAGGAACGGTGGCTGGAATTGGGTAGGTCTAGTTTAACGAAGAGAAGGACGAGGGGGGACATGATAGCAGTCTTCCAATATCTTAGGGGCTGCCCCAAAGAAGAGGGAGTCAAGCTATTCTCCAAGGCGCCTGAAGGCAGGACGAGAAGCAACGGATGGAAACTAATCAAGGAGAGAAGCAACCTAGAACTAAGGAGAAACTTCCTGACAGTTAGAACAATTAACCAGTGGAACAACCTGCCTCCAGAAGCGGTGAATGCTCCAACACTGGAAGTTTTTAAGAAGAGACTGGACAGCCATTTGTCTGAAATGGTGTAGGGTTCCTGCCTGAGCAGGGGGTT